AGGGCATCCAAATGGGTAAAGAGGAAGTCAAGGTGTCACTGTTTGCTGACGATACAATCGTTTACCTTGAAAACCCTAAAGGCTCCTCCAAAAAGCTCCTAGAACTGATAAACTAATTCAGCAAAGCTTCAGGATACAAAATTAATGTACAAAAATCAGTAGCCCTGCCATTATCAGTAGCCTAACAGCTACCAAGCTGAAAATAAAATCAAGAATTCAACCCCTTTTACAATAGCTGCAAAAGAAAAAAAAATACTTAGAAATATACCTAACCAAGGAGGTGACAGATCTCTACAAGGAAAACTACAAAACACTGCTTAAAGAAATCACAGATCATACAAACAAATGGAAACACATCCTATGCTTATAGATGAGTAGAATCAATATTGTGAAAATGGCCATACTGCCAAAAGCAGTCTACAAATTCAATGTAATTCCCTTCAAATACCACCATCATTCTTTATAGAACTAGAAAAAACAATCCTAAAATTCATATGGAACCAAGAAAGAGCCCACATAGCCAAAGCAAGACTAAGCAAAAAGAACAAATCTGGGGGCATCACATTTCCCAACTTCAAACTATAGTACAAGGCCATAGTTACCAAAACAGCATAGTGCTGGTATAAAAATAGGCACATAGGCCAATGCAATAGAATAGAGAGTCTAGAAATAAACCCAAATACTTACAGCCCACTGATCTCTGACAAAGCAAACAAAAACATACAGTGGGGAAAGGACATCCTATTCAACAAATGGTACTGGGATAATTGGCAAGCCACATGTAGAATGAAACTGGATCCTCATATCTCACCTTATACAAAAATCAACTTAAGATGGATTAAGGACTTATACTTAAGATCTGAAACTATAAAAATTCTAGAAGACAACATTGGAAAAACCCCTGTAGACACTGGCTTAGGCAAGGATTTCATGACCAAGAACCCAAAAGCAAATGCAATAAAAACAGATAAATAGCTGGGACCTAATTAAACTAAAGAGCTTTTGCACAGCAAAAGGAACAGTCAGCAGAGTAAACAAACAACCCACAGAGTGAGAGAAAATCTTCACAATCTATACATGTGACAAAGGACTAATATCCAGAATCAACAATGAACTCAAACAAATCAGTAAGAAAAAAACAAACAATCCCATAAAAAAGTGGGCTAAGGACATGAAGGGACAATTTTCAAAAGAAGATATACAAATGGCCAACAAACATGAAAAAATGCTCAACATCCCTAATGATCAGGGAAATGCAAATCAAAACCACAATGTGATACCACCTTACTCCTGCAAGAATGGCCATAATCAAAAAATTAAAAAAATAATAGATTTGGCAGGGATGTGGTGAAAAGGAAACACTTTTACACTGCTGGTGAGAATGTAAACTAGTATAACTACTATGGAAAGCAGTGTGGAGATTCCTTAAATAACTAAAAGTAGAACTACCATTTGATCCAGCAATCCCACTACTGGGTATCTACCCAGATGAAAAGAAGTCATTATACGAAAAAAAATACTTGCCCATGCATGTTTGCAGTAGCACAGTTCGCAATTGCAAAAATATGGAACCAGCCCAAATGCCCATCAATCAACAAGTGAATAAAGAAACTGTGGTAAATATATACCATGGAACACTACTCAGCCATAAAAAAAGGAATGAAATAATGGCATTCACAGCAATTTGGATGGAATTGCAGACCATTATTCTAAGTGAAGTAACTCAGGAATGGAAAACCAGACACTGTATGTTCTCACTCATAAGTGGGAGTTTGCTGTGAGGATGCAAAGGCGTAAGAATGATACAATGGACTTTGGGGACTCAGAGGAAAGGGTGGGAGGTGGGTGAGGGATAAAAGACTACAAATAGGATACAGTGAATACTGCTCAGGTGATGGGTGCACCAAAATCTCAGAAATCACCACTAAAGAACTTATTCATGTAACCAACCACCACCTGTTCCCCCAAAAACCTATGGAAATAAAAAACAAAAATAAAATTAAAAAATAAAAACAGGAGAAAAAATAAGTAAAGATCTTGAAAAATAAAATAAACTACTATCCTCCAAAGTAAGAAAGAAAACTATTCTGAATTTATAGGTGGGGGGAATTAGTTTTTAAATGGTACAATGTGCAGATCATTGGACTGACAACATCAACTAAGCTTCAGTATATGATGAAAACTTACAAATCCTCATTGTTTGACACATAGAAAGATCCAACCTCAGATTGCATCCTCTGAAATCTTACGTTGCTGTGGTTGCCTGGCTCATTTTTAAACAATTGCACTTTTTAAAGCAGTAAGGGATGACAACTAAAATAAATTCGCAAATCCTAAATTTACCATTTCTTGGGAGGAAATAATGTACATTAGCAGAAGAGTAGCCAAATTAAAAGACTAAGAGTCCAAATGTGTTAGCATGAAGATGTTGATTAACTTTTTCACTCCTTTTCTAAGAGTTATAGAGCATTATATTGCGGTCAGCTGACATGTTATCTCTGGAACCACCATACTGGATATGTGCACAAAAGGAGGTCCCTTGGGGAGCCTACTGAAGTGGTTTACTTACTTTATAACTAAGAAAAATTTAACAAAAAATTAACTGAAAGGGCTAAGGGGGTCATTTCCTTATGCTACTAATGTAGCTTAAACATCAACATTTTAATTTATTGTTATAACAGAGATCTTTTGAAATAGAACACACATAGATTTTTAGAAGAACTAGCTAACAGTCTTAACTAGAAACTGAAGAAGTAAACGGATAATGTTAGGAGGTCTCTCAAAGACTTTAAATATGTGAAGACTAACCTAGACCTGTGGGCAGTGTGGAGGTGAAGTTATCTTGTGAAAATATATCACATCAAGCATGTGCTGAGAGTATAAGGTCTGTTTTAGAAATATCTTTATAATCATAGAAATGAAGCACAGAATATAATAGAACAACCAAAAAAGATAAGTCCTGTTAGAAATGTTAAAAGCAGACTCGGGCCGGGCGCGGTGGCTCACACCTGTAATCCCAGCCCTTTGGGAGGCCAAAGTGGGCAGATCACGAGGTCAGGAGTTTGAGACCAGCCTGACCAACAAGGTGAAACTCCGTCTCTACTGAAAATACAAAAATTAGCCAGGCATGGTGACGCGCACTTGTGATCCCAGCTACTTGGGAGGCTGAGGCATGAGAATTGCTTCAACCCAGGAGGCGGAGGTTGCAGTGAGCAGGGACCGCGCCATTGCACTCCAGCCTGAGTGACAGAGCAAGACTCCATCTCAAAAAAAAAAGCAGACTCATTAGTACACCAGCCTAATTAACCAATTAGATTACTGTAAATTACAAAAGTAATTTTACATATATTTTATCATGAAAACTCCCTTTCTGAGTTGAATTAATATAATAGTGAGGGACATTCTTCTCCAGACATCCCTTCATCAGACACACACACAAAATTACTATTAAATTAAAATTCATTAAACCCTATCTAAAAAGAATTGTCTATTGGGATGCTCCACTGCATATTTTAAGATGCCCAACATGTTGCAATTTACCCTGTGTGATGGGTAAGGGTGGAGGCCATGAGACATGCCTCTTACTATAGGTGGCAGGCTTGCCCTCCAGTCAAATAATTCTGAGCCTGTTTTTAACGTGAGTAATGGCATTAAAAACTACAAGTTTGAGTTGTACTAAGTTTGAAACTTTCTAGAGCATATTTTGCATTCAAGTTTTAAAATCTGATTGAAATGTACTATTATGCAAATAAGCTATAATTTTTTTAAATTCCATCCTTTTAAATAGTAACCTAAGGCAAATTTAAGTACTATGATTCTAAAAATGCTAATTCACCCTTGTAAAAGATCTCTGAAAAATAAAAATTTATGCCAGTTGAGAAGGTAACTAGTTGCCTCCATGAGTAAAGGTAGACTAGTTTAGACAAAAAACGAGGAAAAACTAGAATCCACAAAAATGATAGTATATATTCAAGTAGTAGATTAAGATCTGTTTATAATTGCTACAAATTTGATGTTGTAGCTTTATGAATAGAGCTATTGGCCTAAACTACAAACAAGAATGATTACACAAAATAAATCACATTGTAAAAAATAATTTAAATTAATATAGGAATATTTGATTCAATATATCAGTTACAATTATTATTCGAACTAATGCAACTTCAATTCCACAGATGACTAATAATTATTCTTTTTATCACAAGTATATTAAATTTTTCTAGACATATAGTACTTTTTAAGCCTATCAGAAAAGCTAAAGCATTTGTCATTATCTTGTAATCAGTGTACACTAATTATTATGGCCTGAATCTACCCATTCAATACTTAGATCATTTGTCCAGGCCTTAACACTACTGTCCAATAGAACTGTCTGAGATGGAAATGTTCTGTATCTGTACTGTCCAATATGATAACATGTGGCTATTGAACACTTAAATGTGGGTAGTGCAACTGAAGAACTAATTTTTTTATTTTATTTAATTATTCAGTCACATATGACTAGTGGCTACCATAGTAAACATCACAGCTTAGAGGGTTCAAAAAGTAGGACCAAATGTCTTGTTATCATAGGTCTAACTGTGTGTAGTTGGCTTGTTGATCTGCGTAAGCAATGACATTCACAAATGCTTACAAGAATAGTATGCCAAAAAGTCTTTTGCCCTGTGGCTTCATCTTCACTCAAAAATATTATTAAATCTATGCCAGCAAACATCTACTACAGCATTCAGACAACTTCAAACAAAAAAATACAATATGAAAAGATTTTTATTAGTGTTTGTATGTCAGTACAACTATACTGATTAATACTGATTAATGAGCCTGGTGGCCTGTGTCAATCTGTCTAATGTTAGCTCTAGAACAAGTAGAACTCAAACTATGAAATAACCACTGCTAAAAAAGTTTTTGTCTATTACCTAACATAACACAAGAATACCAATTACTACATAGTTTTCAGCTCCATTGGTTAAACACTGCAAAGGCTTGTCAAACCATTTTACCTGACAGACATATTTGTTCTTCCATTTGCTCAGCACACACTGACTGTTTTGCATCAGCTCCTGCAGTACAACAGAAAAAGAGAGAGCATAGTTGGCTATACACATTGTCATTATCAGTTAAAGTGCCTCTGATTTGCAAGCAAAAAAAGATCAACATGCCACACAAAGATGCAACTGTTTTGGAACTCATCACTGGACAAAAGCAAAGCTATCATCACCATGAGAGTTGATCCTTTATGAAAATTAAAGCTGTTGAAAGATGTTTTAAAAACAGATTTGTTTGTTGCCATTTTTGAAACTTTTTGAAAGATACCTCCAACTCTTTGAGTGAGTCTCGGAGTTTTTCTGGGCGTCTGTTTTTGAGCGTCCAAGGATAATCTCGTGCTGGCAAATAAAACATGTACTACAGTTAGTTAAACAAGATTTAAAAAGGAAATTCTGCTTAGCAGTGTGCCTTAGGAAGATTAAAATAAAACACCTCTATAATTGAGAGGAAGTGGGCTTCATTTCCATCATCAAATGACAGCCTTTTGAAAGGCTTTGTCATAGGAACAGGATTTTTACCACAAAACAATCTCCCTAATCATAATTTTACGATGACAACCAACAAGGCTTGCAGAATCCCAGGGAAAGTTTGCTAGGCTTGTGAATCAAGTAATTCATGGTAAATGATGTACTCTTTGCTAACTTTTTCATGTAAATAATTAAATGTTGAATCCAAAAGAAATTCTAAATTCTACAAGTAACCTACTCAGACCTAAAAAAAAAAAAAAAAAAAATTATCATGAGTAAATGAATATAATGAGCAAATAAAATGAAAAGAAATAAAAAATAAAACTGTACATAAAAATATATGAAGTTAGGCATTAAAGCTCCACATTTTAAAACTATGGAAAAATCTGAGGGAAATCCAAGTTTTAACAAATTAGGCCCTAATAGTGCTCTTTTTAATTTAAAACAGTTCTCTTTAAAGTATACACCACAATTGAATAATGATAAGCCTTTGTTTTGCTTTAAATAAATTTAATTGAAAGATAAAATTATTTAGTAGAGTCATCATGTTAGCCTAAAATAAATTAAAAATAGTTCTGCTTAAAATAATTTAAATGTTAAACTCATATCTATTTTATCAGAAAAATGAATTCATCTTTGGATTCTCCTCATTAATAATTCCAAACAAGAGTTACATGTGTATTTGTGCTTACGTGTGTGTTGCATGTACATATACGTATGTAGTATACATAGATACTTAAATTTGAGAGTAGACTTGCTATATATCTTATTTCAGCAAATGAATTTGGGTCTCTAAACAATTTTGATGTAGAACGTATGTGCAAATTTTTAAATCTGTGTTGCAGCTACTAATACATTATTTTTTAAATTAAATGTCAGTTCAACCATTTAAAAAACAAGAGAACAAATGGGATTTTCAGCTCTAGCTATAATCCAAAAAAATCTTAATGTATATTTAATTTATGTCATTAAAACCATATTACATTGTCGCCATAATATATATAACATATACTGGAGATCAGAAAAGACTAGAGTGAATAAAATGCTAATACTGATATTACAAATATTATTTTCTTAAAAATGGGTAAGACATGTTAATTTAGGCAAAGTATGAATAATTAAATGTTACTATCAGAATTTAAGCTTGGTATAATTATCTTAAATATACTAACATATAGTTCATTATGAAAGTTTATGTTTATATAAACATACATTTTATCAAAACTGAATAGAGATTTCAATGGTCTAAATTCGAAAGGCCTGACAAATACAATTGTTACTCATATGTTTATATTTCTAAGTAATGGGAATTTAAGAAATTTGGAGGGAATAATGTTTCCTCTTTGTTCCAGATGAATATTTTATAATACTGAACTTTCCAGTTTTATAATAATTCCAAAAAATATAAAGTAAGCTTACACTCTGCCAGCTTCTGCTTTTCTTCTAAGTTACCATGCTCTGTCGCTGATATTGTAGCAGAAGGGACAGAAAGAAAAAAACAAAAGTAGAATTTATTTTTATTATAATGCCTTACATTTTAATATGTACACGTATAATGTATTATTAACATTACATGCATTATTGAGATTAATAAATAATGCTTAGATTCTAAAAAGACAGTTGAAAAAAAGGCCATAATTTGGATGTTTTCATTTCATAGAGATATTTCCTAAATTTGCAGTGAAAGGGCACAACAGCTGGACCAATATCCTGAGCTTCCAATCTCATCAGATAGGAAAGAGAACTGCAACAGAGCCCAGAACAGAAGCTGCTTCAGTCTGTCATCAGAACCATGAAGTCAGCCTATTAACCACTAAGCTAAGCACACAGGATGCTCACACAAGCCCACTTCAACGGAGACCAAAACAGGAAGTAACTCTAGCTAGAAAGACCTTTTGGCCCATCATAAAACTTCTGGGATTAACAGGATTAATCAGATAAAGAAAATTGATCATTCACTCAGAAATGCCTATTTCAGATATCAGGTGAGGATCCAGGAGGCCAGCATCAGTAGGACCCATGCATTAACAATGCCCTCTACTGGGACACTGATAAATAAACGTGAATAGACTGCCCTGTTATCAGCCTGATCAGCAGGAAAATGAAAATTTTCATGTCCTTCTACAGCATTTTTTCAATACTACTTTATTTTATATAGAACAGATAGATATCAACCTCAGCATTTTTCTAAAGAATTGAACAGACTTTTCTTAAAATTCTAGAATTTATCTAAAGCTCATAAGAAGAGCGTTTTTAATGGTCAGTATTTCATGGTTTAGAATACTTAGTTAATAAAAATTAATTGCACAGAATAGGTACTTTACCTGGTGGATCTTTCTTATCATAATACTGGTAAATCCCAATGTTTCTATCTATAGAAAGGAAGAAATAACATTAAATTATGATTAAAATGTCCCCGAGAATAAGAAGCCAAGCCATACTATATTAGGGAAAGGGTAGGGAAAAAAGCAGAAACAGTCTCCTTATGTTACTAGAAATAAAATGGCTCAAAAGCATCTGGAGATGAGTTCATGTATTCTAGGGATATGCAGAAACTGGAAAGTTTATCAATCTAATGAGAAAAGATTTACACAAAACTAGAATGGCATGAGAAAAAGATTAGTAAAGAACTGAAATCAAGAAAGACCAAGTTTTCTCTTTCACACATCCTCTTATATTTTTCACAGGGCGCTACCAAAAGGAACTGCCACTAAGCAATGCCAAATGAAATCAGTGGATGGAAGAAAATGCCCTGTTGGATTCTGAGCTGTGGTTTTCTTTTCTCCAATTTAGCTCAAGAGTCTAATTCTTATCCTATGGCATTTGGGAGAAATCCACAGAAGAGAAAGGGAAGATTAGAGGAAGGTTTGGAAAAATTATTATCTGAAACTTGTTTAGGCAGGGAAAACCCCTTCTAAACCTAAATTCGGACACTTTGCTGGGGCTACCTAAGAAGCAAAGTTGGGCTTCCCAGATGTCAAGATTCATTTAACCAAGGAATTATTCCAATTTAAATATAAGATAACAAAATAATTTTGTCCATTTTCTTCATATCTATGAATAATAAAATATTTCTTTCATTGAAGGAACATTTGTTTTCTTCCATACAAAATAATTCTCAGTTACTAACATAAGGATAAAGAGTATAGGTGGAAGCAGTACAGGCTGCCCCCTAGTGACTGACTGCTCCAGACTTTCTGAAACTGAATGATAAAACTTCAAAAAAAAGTATTACTGCTATAATTAACTTTTCAAATATAGTCTTTCAAAATAGTCAATTGCGTGTACTTGTTAAAGTTCTATTTTATTCATCATGCCATTAGTAGAGGCATACAATTTTAAAGAATGCAGTTTATGTCTACTGGTTAGACTGAATATATCTAATAAGGATTTATTGTGAAAAATCATGAGTAGGACTTCTTGGATACTGATATTTTAATTGTTGTCCTGGATGGTGATTTTTATGGGTGTTTTCACATTCTGATGGTTCACAACATAATCTTATGATCTTTACACTTTTCAGTACATACATTATACTTCAATAAAAAGGCTATTTTAAAATCTAAGAACCATAGACACTACATATGCAGACAGTATCTCTATTAAAATATTCCACCCTATAATTATACCCATCATTCCATACATCCAAATATATGCCACAAGTTCTAGAATAGAACTATGAAGATCATAAAGAATCCTGAATTATTTGCACAAGTCTGACCTACTGCATCTGGCCCAGAGTGGGATTGTCAAAACGCAAGCAGAATAAGGAGAGCATCCAGTTAAGAAAACCTGCCCTACAATGGGTGCCAGAGCTGGATGAGGAAGGTGTCCATTCAGAGAGTCAGCCTGACACGGTGTGTTGGAACTCCAGCAGGGTAAGAACATTCTCATGAAGCAACGGCCTGGTGTGGGTATTAGAGGCTAAACAAGGTAAGGAGAACATTTACATATGGGGGCAGCTCAACATGGTATATCAAATCCACATGGGGTGAGAAGGGTATCCATACAGGGGAGGGAGCAGCCACAGAGATAGTGGATTGACTGCAAACAGGGTGACTGATTAAGTAAATAAATAAAAAATAGGGGAGCTCCAGGTTTCCCATTGTCTGAGAAGAAAAATACAAATATGGAAAGGGAGAAAATTAGAATGAACCCTATGGTGGTAGATAGGAATGAGATGTACCAGTGTGAACTCATGGTTTCAATATAGAGAGATAGATAGATATAGAAATAAATGTGAATGTAAATATGTGTGTATACATACACACATACATTCTGCAAGCTCTGTCCACTAAGAGGGCCTGGGAGCAGCATTACTCCAATAATGAGTGCACCTAAAGCAGAACTTGGCTTCTAGACACCCTTACCCTCTAAAAGGAATAAAGCTCCTTAGAGAAGTGACTGATTCCTAGGCTAGGAAGAGGAAATTACAACATGAGTCTGGAACATTTGTTGTACCAGAAAGAATTAAAGTGCTCCAATTTTGACAGGGACATGTCAAAAAGACACAGAAGCCAGCCTGAAGAGGGTCCCTCTGGCCACATCAGGGACAATTTAAACATCAAAATAAATAATGAAATAAAATAAAATAATGATATGACTATATTATTACAACTGCATAAAGTGGAAAACTTGAATCCACAGAGATAAAATAAATTGATCATATATAATAATATATTTAAAGTGTGATGAGGAACAGAATATTTACATAATTTCAAGGTACTTCCCTGTGAAATACTTACCACAAAGAAAAAAGTAACTTCGCAGTGGAGAAGCCTTGCAGACACTATCTTATCAGGTAATCATGAATATCGTCAGGAAAGGGACAAATTGAAATTATGCACCACCTGATAGGATGCACTGAAATGTATAACCTGAATCTAATTGTGAGGAAATTTCAAATACAACCAAATTTAGGATCATCCTACACAATAACTGGCCTAATATCTTCAAAAATGTTAAGGTCATGAAAGTTTAAAAAAAAAAAAAGAGAAGAAGGATGAAGGATAACCCAGAATGAAGGATACTAAAGAAACACGGTAACAATGCAATGTGTCACTGTAACAAAATCCTTTTCCTAAAAAAAGAACAATGATGGGACAATTGGTGAACTGGTCCATTTAGACTGAAGTACATCATTATTAATTTCCTGATTTCAATGGCTATACAGTAATGCAGGACAAAATCCTTTTTGTAGGACATATACATGAATGTATTTGGGGTGATAAAGCATCAGGCTACAACTCTCAAATGGTTCAAGAAAAAAAATTCTCTGTACTGACAATTTTTCTGTAAGTTTGTGATTATTTCAAACATTTTAAAAATAAACATCGAGCATAATGACAGCACATTAACAGGGTTACTAATTTAGTCTAGATAGCAGGAAAGGCTTCTCTAAATGACTTAACAAAGCTGAGCCCTAAAGAAGTGGGATTCACAAAAGGTTAAACAGAAGAATGTCCCAATAGAGAGAACGGGTAGGCCCTGCAAAAATGCAGTTGGGGTTGAAGACTATTCCCATGGGGCTACTGTGCACCACTGTGTGATTCTTCTCTAAAAACCATTCACTGACTCAGAATAGAAGGAACAGGGACAGAAAACTTGAGGACACACGGAGGGGTAGGGAAGGCATTTGCTGGGCATGAACAGAAGACGAGGGGTAAAAGGGGATCAAGATGGAATAGCTCAGACTTCCAACTATGGGGTCCAAGATGGGTAGGAAGATAAGTGAAGAAGTCCCAATGGACTAGGAGAATGTCAAGCGATTAAAAGACTGACCATCTTGAAGAAGCATAAAACCTAGATATATGAGAATAAGGGAAAAAGGTGAAAAATGGGGAATTATGATTAGAAAAGAAAACATTTCAATTAAAGATTTCCACCAGCAGTAAAATAAGTTCACTTTGGGATTTCTTTTTTCTATTTTCTGAGATTTCTTTACACTTTTGAATTTTGAATTTTTTTCTGCAACGTATTTTTAATTTCCAAGAGATTTGTATAATTTCAAATGTTTTCTGAAGCTTCTGTTTTTGTTTCTTGCTTCATGGATTTAGTATTTTTCCTTAGGTCTCTGTTGTACTTTTTTCCCCCCTTCCTACATTATCTCTGTTTCTTCAGAGATCCATTCACCTATTCATTTTGTTTTATTTCCTGTTGAAGATATTCCTCAAATATCTGGTGATCCTTAGTTCTCTGTTTGTATTTACAAGTGAGGCACTAAAAAACTGATTGGAAGCCCTGTGTAGACAAATAGAGCTTGCCAACTGGTGAGCTTCACTGATCAGGCAAGGACCAGGGTATTTCACCAAAGAATTCCCTCAAACATCTATGTACAAAGGTCTTCTTTCTAGGGTCATTCAGTCATTCCAGAGAGGAATACCTCAAGCCCCTTCTTTCTTGGAAAGTGTACAAATAGGTATGACATTCTCAGAACCAAGTGGGATTAAGAAGACCTCACCCATAAGTATGTAGGCTTCCTTCCATTTCATGCCTGTTTTCTGTTCAGCAGGTCTTCCACTGCCCCTGGTGTTCCCAACTTTAGAGCCTCCTTAATTAAATATTTCCACAGCATGAAAGGTATCTCACAAGTTCTTCTGCAAACTTTCACGTCCCTTTACTGTCGCTCTCATGATACATACCATCTTCTACAATATCTGGCTCCTCAAATTTCTGTATCTTTCCAGAATTTTGAGTCATAAATTGGCTGTCACCGGAACTCTCCTCTGCAGGCAATTTATATTCAGGTTTTACAGCTCTGCTAATTCCTCTTTCCCTCCCATCTTCCAAAATTTGTCCAATTTCAGTTGTCCCCTCTCTCGAAAGGGTTTATGCTTTCTTTATTTGTATTCCTTTATTGGCATTTTAGAAGAGTTTTAGGAGGAAGCAAACGAATGTTAAATCTACTTTAACTGAAATTTCAATCTATTTACATTTTAAAGCAGATAAACTTGATGAAACTATCACAATCATCCTTAATTCTATATTTGATATGAAGAAACAATACTTTGTAAGGTAAACCATTTTCTTAATAATGATGCTTAAGTGATACAAATAATATTCTTCTCCTAAATACAAGTGTTACTTTGTATAATTAAAGATTTTTTAAAAGATATTTCTTATAAAGTATACTACATCCTATGTTAATAAGCATTATTAAAACACACATATTATTCTCCCCCCCAAAAATGTGAAAAACAAAGAACATGTAAATAATTGTACATCTTAGCTATAAGTTTGAAATGTTATTTTAATATCAAATAGAAATGCCTTTACCATTAGCTATCCTGTACATATTTATGAATATAAATGTTATTATGAAGAATCCCAGAAAAAAATTGAACATGTGTGTATCTTGACAGAACAAACATTAAGCCAATAAGATTAATTTTCAAAACTGAAAACCTAACTCAAGCTATAAATATTAAGTTAGTAAGAGTAATTAAAAGGAATTATTTTCCATTAACCAGTTTTTCATTAAGAATAAAGAAAGAATGCAACTCCAGCTGGAGAATTCAGACTCTAACCTTTGCTAGTACTTATTTATAATGGTGTAACATATTTGAAAAATATTGAAATTAATCCAGAGCTCATTTACCCGCAATGTGTAAGGTATTCTTCAAAGACCACAGGTGCAGTTCAGTCAAGCAGAAAGACATCTGATGGCAGAAGGAATCTCTGTCCTGTTTAAAAAATAATTAAAAAGAAGTGCCAATTAATTATCTTCTATTGCCAATAAAACCAAGATACCTTAAAAATAGTAAAAAGAATCATTCACCACAACTGTTATTTGAAATATGGTCCATTAGAATAAACATGCTCTAGTGTATCCTTGGTTAACCATCCAGAAATAAACTCTAGAAAGAGGAAAAATACACTCCTTTTCCTGGATTTAGTATGTCATCACATTGAGAAATGTGGTAAGAAGAATATATATAGTATTTAGGTTTTCAATAGCATATGTTTGGTTAAGGCTCTGAGTATATTTAGAATTATTTAGTATTTAAGCATTTTTTTTTAAGTTTTATTTTTAAGGAAAGGAAACATCTGTTGGTAGTTATTAAGTACGAGCACATTTTGTGGTACATCTTTGGTATATAAAGCAAATATTTACAATATCCTACATACAAACAGGCTAATTAAAGTGAAATTTGCAAGGTAAATGGTATATAGTTACTATTATAAGAAACATAATTACTTAAAAGTAAACTCTGAAACCACATTAGCATTCAGCTTAGTATGTTAATCTGCATGTCATGATGGATCCAGATATTTTATTCTGTGGGGTTTTTTTTTGAAAAAACAAGATGGTAATAATATACATCTTGTATTCCCCCTAGCAGGGGCTAGGGATGGACACTATCAATACTTTTCTTTTTAATCAAATACTACCTCATCGATTTAGACTGATTGGGAGAAGGCTAGTCTGCATTAGAAAAAAGGTCAACATTTTACAAATGTTTGAAAGGAATTTATATAATTTTCAAATGTTTGCTTGGAAATACATATAGTACTACACTGTATTTATGTTATACTACATATTAGAAATACATACAATAACTTAAACTATGGACATTTTATTTATAGAATCATGAAAGAAATGTTCTTTCCAGTAAACTTCTGAATGATGAAGCTTGAAAAATATTTTAAGACATTTTAATGGAGGAAATATCCTTCAGCTTCTTTAACATTAGGAGTGACTAAAAATATTTCCCATAGTATCCATATGGTTGATAATCCAAAATAATTTCAGACATAGTACAAACTTCCTTGGCCTGCCCTTCATCCTTACATTTATGTGACCTCAATGCACTTACAATCAAGAAACAGATGCATGTTGAACTAATGCGATACAGTATGCTACGGACTGAAACAGCAGAGTGAAAAATGTGGCAGCACAGAAGAGGGGCCCAATCCTGACTGAACAGCTGGGCTGTGAGAAAGCTCAGAGAAGTTGTTAAATGTTAGTGGGTCCTCAAAGAAGGATAGGATTTCACCAGATGATGATGATGATGATGATGATGATGATGATGAAGATGATGATGGAGAAAAAGATGAGGAAGAAAATGATGGTGATAACAACAGACAACACTTACTTGTTCTGAATATTTTACATGTATTAACTCTCTTAATCCTCATAGCTACTCTTTGAGGTAGTACCATCAGTATTCCTATAATGAGGAAACTGAGGCACAGAGTGGTCACATAGAAAGCAGGTGGTGAAGGCTTTGGATCTACACAGACTAGCTCCAGAGTCTGTTTGCAACCACAGTATTCTACTGTATTGGGGTAGACAGAGTTATGGAAGGGAGTATATATAGTATATATAGCATGACCCGGTCGGGTGCAGTGGCTCATGCCTGTAATCCCAGCACTTTGGGAGGCCGAGATGGATGGATCACGAGGTCGGGAGATCAAGACCAGCCTGGTCAACACGGCAAAACTCCATCTCTACTAAAAATACAAAAAATTAGCCGGGCATGGTGGCGGGCGCCTGTAGTTCCAGCTACTGGGGAGGCTGAGGCAGGAGAATGGCGAGAACCCGGGAGGCGGAGCTTGCTGTGAGCTGAGATCGCGCCACTGCACTCCAGCCTGGGCAACAGAGAAAGACTCCATCTCAAAAAAAAAAAAAAGAGATGGCATGACCCAAGGATGAAAGTAGATTAAGGTGCACAGTGGATAGTGATAGAAAGGTGAAGCTAGAAAGGGTAAGGAGGAAACAGGCTACAATAGTAAATTTTGGGTTGATCTGAATTTACTTTCTTCCATGCATTAAATGCCTTTAAAGGTAAGAGATGAAATAAGGAATCCCTCAATCCCCAGATCTGCCCTGCTGTGCCTAAATGCTGGCTGCCATTGTATACAGGTTTGGAGTTGGAAAGCTAGTGGACTGCATTACTAAGAGAAAGAATGCAGTTCATTATCAGCAAGCAGTAGAGAAAAAGGGATATTAAGCTAGTTACTAATTTTTCAGTTAAACTGAGTATTATCTTTCAGAGTTGTCACTTTGGAAGTGACTCTAGTGAGCCTACTATTACTGAAAATGTTTCCAATGCAGTGTTCTTTGGAATTGCTTTCAGTTAGTTTTATGAGGCTAATTTTAGAATTGTCATCTTACAGTTAAGCTTTTTTCTTAACTAAAATACTTACCGTATTAGAATATGTAAACTGCAGCCTTTTCATTTGGAAATGTGAGGTCTGGAATGTTTGTTTTAAAATATCAGTTAATGAATTAAATATTTATTTTTCATCTATTTAGCTTAATGTGTAGATTCTAGAATCTGCCTGCCTGTTTTCTTATTCTAATTTCTCAGCTTAGTAGCTAACTTGGACAAATTACCTAACTTCTCTATTTCTAAGAGTCCCCAGCTATAAAATGGGTATAATAAAGTACCTACATCAGGACTGCTTTCAGGATACACTTACTCAATTACCTTAACACTGCAGTTGCTGCTTGCTGTTACTCAGTATATCTATCACTATGCAAATTTGTATGGAAAAAAATAAAACAATAAATATGATCTCTGACCTTATGTGGTAATCTCACAGTATGAAATAAATAACTACTAAGTACAATAGGCGGTTTATGAAGGAAAAACATCCAGATGTGGAGAAGTTACTATACAAGAGAAGGTATTTGAATTAGGACATGCAAATGGGTTAATATTCCATTGCAAGTAAGAAAGAAAAGAGATGGTAAAACAGGTGTATACTTCCTCTGACATTCAGCATCAAAAGTCACCAACTTCTATACTATACTAGAAAAATAAGTTATATTCCTCAATTTAGTTTTTATTCAGATACCAGTAATACTAATTTATGACAACTTGCATAAGACAAGGCTGAAGTTTAGCTGTTTGTTGCTATATAAAAAGTCTTATCATGTAAATTAAATACAGATAAAATTTTATAGATAAAACCAAAAGACTGCACCTTTACTTACACATCAAAAGAAGATAACACTTGAAATTCTGTATTTCAGTTTAAATCAATTTAGTAATAATTTGTCAAAACTTTCTCCTGATAACAGAAATGGAGAGTGTAGTGTAGTTTTCATTGTAATCTACACTGGCTATTTCTAAGAGGCAGAAAAACACCTTTTACTTGAAAAACTGATAGGTCCACTCCCCATATCTTCATTAAGTTTGAAAGTCCTAAATTAATCAAAAATTATAGTGTTTCAAGGAGAATAAGCAAAATGAGATCTGTGAAGAGCTTCAAAGCCAAGAGTCAAGCCATTAATTCTCTACATTTGAACACGGGAAATCCTGAGCATAGTACAGTATAGAGTCTATGACCTGGACTTGTCTTCCAGCTCAGCACCCACGATCCATATGTAGGTCCAATGGTGGTGGGAAGACTGAGAAAAATATACAAGATATTTCTCAAAATGCTCTGATGTACAAACAACACTGTTCTAGTTTCCCATTAAAAAGCACAGGATGAAAGAAGGAGAGAGACATTCTCCTCCTACTTATTAAAGGACCCCTTTGTGGCCCCACAAGGGACCTATCATATAAGGATGGGGAAGCTGGCCAGGCGCGGTGGCTCACACCTGCAATCCCAGCACTTTGGGAGGCCAAGGCAGATGGATCACTTGAGGCCAAGAGTTCGAGACCAGCCTGACCAACATGGCAAAACCCAATCTCTACTAAAAATACAAAAATTAGCTGGGCATGGTGGCACACACCTGTAATCCCAGCTACTTGGGAGGCTGAGGCAGAAGAATCTCTGGAACCCAGGAGGCAAAGGTTGCAGTGAGTCAAGATCATGCCACTGCACTCCAGCCTAGGCGACAGAGTGAGACTCCATCTCAAAAAAAAAAAAAAAAAAGAATGGAGAAGTGGCTGCAGGAAGTGGTGTGCAGCAGAAAGTAAGCAGGAATGGTGAATGTGGTGGTATCCAGACAAAGCAGAATCTGTATCCAGCAAAAGCAGACATGGGTGGTCAAGGAGTGGCCTGTATCATCTGAAGAAATAGCAGCAATAATTAGCAAGTAGTGGGTTCATGGATGAGAAGAAAATGGCCAATGTCCATTAGTAGATGACTGGACTGGTTTATCAACAAAATGTCACAACTCTTGTGGATTCCCCAAGATCTGTGTGATTAAGGAGGGAGCTTTGCAAGTGGTCATGCATTAGCGGGGGAGTGGGGAGAAGACAGTCAAATGTGGGTTATTCATCCTCCTTTTTTCCTTAACTTCAAATATCTCCCAAGAAGATCAGGTAAAACTAAAGAAAATTAATGGAGTAAATAAAACAAGTGTGTAAAAATCTATAATAATAAGTAGATGGGCAAGGTGGGAGAGGACCAAATCAATATCCTTTTTAGTCTTCAAGCTTTATATGTCCTGCAGGTTTTTTTTAAAGGACACAAGCTTTTTAAAGACCTCTAAACATCTTGAATCTTACTCAAGTGTGCCACCAGTTAAAAACAATGCTGGTAATTTCCTGGTTTGAAAAATCTGCCTGGAGGAAGTAGTCAAGACTAAGCTTGTATTATTCAAATATTGTATTTGTGTATAAATATTTGTTTTGCAACCCCATCACAAAGTAGGCAAAGGATATGAACAGACATTTCTCAAAAGAAGACATTCATACAGCCAACAGACACATGAAAAAATGCTCATCATCACTGGCCATCAGAGAAATGCAAATCAAAACCACAATGAGATACCATCTCA